CCAATCTAGTCTAGCACACAAAATTATACATACCTTAATAGCGATATTTAGCTATTGCTTTCTATTGAGATATGACTACACTAGATTAGCCGCGTAGTAGTGACACGCATATATGAGTATGAGTGTGTGGGGGGTATGTGCGTCTCGTAAAACAGAAGAATGCAACTGTTCCGTTGGTAGTGTGATAAAGAAGATACTGAGACAAAGAGAGTTCTGAGACGCGTGCAAATGTGTATCGACGAATATCTTGTAAATCACATATCAAATAAATCTGAAACTATTTTGATATCGATTCTAAGTGTAATCCAAGTGTTCCTATACATTTATTTCGGCGATTAAGATTCACAGTTCTCAACACTTTCCAACAACTTGTTCAGTTGTATAAGTTTGCTTAAAAGTTAACAAGGCGCAAGATATTTCAAACGTTTCCAAAAGAGGAGCAGTAGTTTTAGAAGCATCGGAATCAACAAAACACAACAAATTCAAGCCGCCGATAAATACCTTCAGGCAAAATCGAACACCGGTTTAGAAGCACTTGCCAGAAATATACCATTTATTTAGAATCGCTTCTCTCTATTATTTTTAAACTGAGATTAACATTTATGGGAATTCTGTTCTTTATTCGTAACTCGGTGTAATTTTCTCAAATTTCTTGGAAGAATTCGATAAAAGTTTCTGACTGTCGCCATTCGATTACCAATTGGAAGCAGTTCGATTCATTGAAATATCAAAGTTTTGATACTGAGCTTCAAAACCAGCTGATGAACATCGAAGAGTATTATTCTACATCTTAAGAGTACTATTCTACGAAATGAATCTTTCTATGAAGTGAATTTTGGATACTTCATTTCCGTTCGAATTTATAAGTAAATATTGAACTTCGTTGCATTGCTACTTATATAACGTTACTTAGATAACGAAAATTGGATCGGTAACAGACGTGTTTATAAACCGATTCGCACGGCGGGCTACATCCTACAACCAACGTAAGTCTCCAACATAGTAATTCGCGTTTAACGCAGAAAAACGACTAAGTTCATCGTCGAACGACACGTACGCCGTCCCCGCAGGTGGTAGCTATGCATTTTTAAAGCTACCCCGAGAAATACATGGTAGCCGTTCCTTGGCCCACCGTCTAATAGCCGTCTTTAAACGAGTCGACCTGGCTGAGAAACGATGCGGGGAAGGTTTCAGAAGAGAGGTGGAAGTCGTGTACAAGTTCCGATTCCGACGTTCGTACGGTCTAGGCCAAGGGATGCTTATCTAAATTCCCAGGCACATCGCGTGCTCCTTGGATAAGCCGACCACGAATCGTAATAAGGACAACGAGAATTTACTTGCAGCGAAATACGAGACGGCGCCGTCGACTCGGCCGAGAAACTTTTATGAGAAAACCTACCCCCGATGGTTCCTACGCCCCCGCCACCGCCACCACCACGATATAGAAGAGTTATTCCTTGAAATTCGTCCGGCGACTTTCTTCGCGCGTTCTCGATCCCCGCAGATCCTTTCTCGTTGGCCTCTAGCTTCGACGTAACGGAATTTCCACCCCTTTCACGATGTTTCAAGAGAAATTTAATTTCAAGGGATATTCCGATAAATATCGAAACGGAGAAAGCTTTTGTACGATGATAAAAGTATCGACACGCCATTGAATCGAAAATCAACGGGAATACAGGATTCGGAGGGCATAAAGAGACAAGAGAGATTAATAAAAGGAAACTTTGCGCATAGAACGAAGAGAAGGACGAAGGAACGTGCTAAGAGGAAACTATGACAATTACGTGTCTACCGAAAATGGTTCAACCATAAGGGAGACTTTTTTTTCTTTGCCGTATTCCGCGGACAATGCGAGTTTTTTTAAGCAGCAGCCGTAACGATGATCGTAGCAATAACACGACGAAGATGTTCTTTGCTGTTTTGAACGAAAAACTTCTTATCTACGAGAGTTCTTGGGAACATCGCGTGTCCCGCAGATAAGCCGACCATGGAGTTGCAATAAAGACAATGAGAAGTTAGTTCCCGACGAACCGGCCCGGCCCCGCGTGTCGTTGTCGTCGTGGCAGTCGTTCTTGTTGTTGTAGTCATTGTCGACGACCGTTGTATCTTCGATCTTGGTTAATCGTTCGCGTTCGTGATCGTGAAACGCGTGACGGCTAAAAAGGCCAACGAGTAGCAATAAGGACAACAAGAACAGTGTCTTTGTTGTCTCGTTGCGTATCTGCGATCTCTCTTATTCATGTGGACTGGCGCAGTCTCGTTATTTACGTCCATCACTGCGAACACGGCCACGGTCAAGAGTGCGACGAATGGCGATAAAGAGCCGGCTGTCATTCCCATTGACGAGCTTGTAATCGCGTGCGATTTCGATTTCGAGCCAACTCGTTCGTTCAGGTGTAAAACTTGCGATCCGTTTCGTTCGTTTCGTCAACAACAAAGAGAATCGATAATAAATCGAGAAACTTCGCAATTTACAATCGTATTTCGAATAGAAAGAAACAAAGAGGAGTTTCGGGAAAATAGCAAATTAAAAGAAGATCTAACGTGTGTAAGATAGAATGGCGCAACCAAGTCTGAGAGTGCAGGATTAACGCAAATCCCGTAGAAAAAGAACGACGCATCGTGCAAGAGGGGGAAAAAGCGAGTACACCGACTCAAACGCGTCCCGTTTTCCGCGATCTTAATTTTATGTTTGATAGCATGCGCGCGCGTTTATCACGCGCCAAACCAGCGTCCCGTGGATTCCATCGTAAAACACGTAAGTCGGTCGACCCGTATGCGCGTGATCGTATCTGGAACCATGATCCTGAAACGATCCAACGTGAAAGACGTTGCCAACGTGGCTGCTACGGTGTAAGCAGGCCAGAGACTCTCGAGACTTCGAGTCGAGATTTTCGACTCTCTGCTCGTCGTCTAAAACGCCCATGCAAAACAAGGAGAATAAAATAAACGAAGCGCGCGCGGGGGTAAGATTGAACGGAGAGAACGAGAAAGGCGCAGTATTCCTCGTTGAATAATATATGCGCTTGCCAAGAGGCTGCAGGATAAATGTAGTCGTATTTGCACAACAATTTCCAGCGTGTAGCTCTTGTACCGTCGGTCCGTTTGCCGAGGGAGGAGGTCGACGTTTAATGAGCCGTGTCTCACCCTCGCCCTCACCCTCGCCCTCGTTCTCATTCTGGTCCTCGTCTTCGTTACATCGCGGCAATCGTTTGACGTATACAACCCCGTCGTTCGTCCTTCTATGCGGACGAGCAGGACCGTTAGTATGGCTGGACACAACCGACGAATTCACGCGAAACAAAATTGAGATCGAGCGATCGTCCAACGTCGAGAGATTCGTTCAAGGGGATGCTCCGGGATTTTTTCGCCCTGGATTTCTCTAACGGATGCTATCCTCGTGGTTTTACGCAGTATAAAACGGGATTCTTGTAGCAAAGAACGTTCCTAATTTCGCTGACATACGAGTTAGTTTGGTAGAAGTGGTTTCTGGTTTAAATGTAGAAGAAGATTTTGAGAAAGGAGTGGCACGGCAGAGATTTCAATGGCTTAATGAGCGAAGATTCTTTGGAAATGATAGTAGGGTTGTTAGATAATTCTTGCGGATTCTTCGTTAAAAACAGCGTTTCACGATGAAAAAAATTGCTGAAGTACGACTCGCTATATGTATTTCAATAATTAAAAAACTTGTTTGGTGTTGTTAGAGCGATGCTTCCACTTTCCTAATAAGAAACCCAAGAATATCCCTGCGGCAAACCCAATACCTAAATGAGATTCTTGAGACTTTCACGGGCCAGGTGTTTGCAATTGAATCTATTAGAAGCTTCCGGATCTAAACCGTGCCCTTTAGGGAAATAATCCCGAGGCTCCGTTGCGGCTGGCTTTATCAGAGATCTTAAGATTCGCGGATATTCTGAGAAGAAACAACTTAGAAACCTGTGGTAATTTCGTTTGCAAATTTTTCCCAAATTCTTCTTACGATCTTTTCTCTCCGATTCTCGTATTTATAAAATTATCAATTTTGAAATGAAAGAATTTTAAGGAATTAGTTCTTAAAGTGCTGGAAATTCGAACTCAAGTGGTTATTGACGTTTAAACTCGGACGTTGGATTCGATGATCTATAACGGAAATTAAGAATACAGAAAACATCTGCAGTACCAACGTATTCGCTCGTGAATTTTTTAGAAATCCTCGTAGAATGCTACTTTAGATTCCTTCAATTATTTACAAATATACAAACTGTAAAACGAATGAATTTTTACTTCTTTTATATTCCGAAAATGCTTGAAATGTTAATCGAACAAGCGTTCGTTAACATTTCAATGCGTAAGTCGGAACAAACGTTCGATTCAACTAAACGTAATATTAATCGTAATATACGCGAAACTCAAAGTTCGGAAAATATATCCAATACCGCTACATTTTAACAGATCTCTCTAGAACATTTGTCTCAAATCTATATCTATAGAATATCAAAATTTCAAATAAGAGAGTCGGTAAAAACGCTCGAAGTGTCGTTTCAAGCGTTCATTAACACTGCAGCACGTAACTCGAGGCAGATGTTCGATTCCATGAACTATAACATCAAGCACAGCACCAGCTGAACATTCTGAAAGTATCGTCGAACGAGTTAAAGAAACGCCACCATGGCAAAATCCGTTTCGAAAGCTCTTTCTCGCCTTTTCTCTGTCGACGTTCCGCCCATATTTACAAACCAAACACGCGAACTTTCGCGCGGAAAGCACGTTTCGAATGTTTTCCTCCGTTGAAACGTTCCGTCTTTCAGTGAAAACGATGGCGCACAACGGGACGCCACTGGAAAATGTTATTTTTTCGGGTTAATTTGAAGTCAAACGATAATGGCCGAGGACAAAAAGAGGGGATGAAACGAGAACACAGACAAGACTGATAGCGACTTAAGCGCCGCCAGGGTCGCTCGTCTAATAGGGCTTCTCCGTCTTTCTTATCGTCCGTCGACGCCCGCAACAGTGTCGCTTACCTAAATACCGGACGTGGTTGCCTGGAAAGCGACGACGCTCTCACACTGCGATGGTCCTCTCCTTAAGCCGACCTGAAACAAGAAACACGGATGAAAGGAAGATTAACCGAGCGCTACCTACCGTTCGCTTCAGCCCACAAACAATCACACAAAGGAACACAGACAAATTTAGACGCATGCGAAACAAATAGATTAAGTTTTTCATTGATCCAGGACTGAATCCAGCCTCTCTCGCTGTCGTCCGATTTCTCTTCTGTCGTGAACGCCCACGCGCCAATGCCACGATTTCTTCGCTCACAAACGATAAACGTCGAGTGGATCAAGGAATTTTCCTTGATCCGTTTTCTGTGTCGCGTTTCGCTACGTCTTTCAAAGTAACGGAAGCTCGCACCTCCGGTTGCATTTAAATTACTCGAATCAACGTTCTTTAATTACAGACCACCTTGACAACATCGCTTCGAAACGAGATAAGAAGAAAGGGCAAAGAATGGGTGAAAAATTTCACGATCCGCGCGAACTCGTTTAAAAAACGAGCTTGCTCGTCGAGCCATGTTAAAATTTCTCTAATTCGTTATGTCGAGAGGCAGCCGTCTGGTTTTTGTCGAAACGCGCGAACACAGCCTATGGGTTGGGAAACTTTCCACCGTCATTCGCGCCCGCTTTTCCAAAGTTTCACGTTGTTTCACGGTGAAATCACGATTCGTGGAGAATCAGTGATCTCTGGCTGGGCAAAAAGAGAATAGGCTGCAAGAGGGACGAATGAAAAGAGAACGGACACGAAAAAAAAAAAGAAATAGCCGAGGGAGAAGCGCGGGAAATTAACGCACACGGGCGTTGAAGGCAGCGCGTGTGTCTATCCTTGTAACGGTGCGCCTGTATTTATGCGCGTGCAAAGTTGGCCAGGGGATGCCTTCGCATCGTGCACGCGGCTGTTTTCGCAAGCTTGAACCAAATACGTACACAGCCAAGGGGTTAACCGAGCGCGTATCCCCTGCTATCGTCATAACCCACATAGAGGGCGTCACACCGACGGGGTAGAGAAAAGGGAGCGAGGGCGAGAGGGGCGGCCGGTGACGTCAAATTCGCGCACACAGTCTCACACAGATGCGTCGATAAGCTTTGCTGGATGCTGCATTCCCCCTGCCTCTTCTCACCCTCTCCCCCCTTTTTCTATCCTAACTACCGAACTATGACGTAAACCGTTTTGCGAACGGTTTTCCATTTATCTTCGCTCTCTTAATTTCCTCCGGAAAAATCGAAAGCCGCGCTCGGCCCCGAACTCGGGCTGCAACCCCCCCGCACCGTAACATTCCCTCCTCTTCCTCCTCCTCCCCCCACCCCTTCGGTGTAATACATTTCTGCGTCAAAGTGTCAACTCGACGTTGGATTCGCGCTGAAAACGCGGCCGGATTTTCGAACCAGGTTCGAGCATCTGTTTCGTTGTATCGTTAATTCGACGAAGCCGAGATACGGGGCTTGAATTCGTAATCGCACACCGTTGTTTCGTAGTTGAATAGGTGGGGATAGAGAGATTTATTCGTTGAAAACGTGACGTAGCGTGAAAATTTGTTGTAACAAATTGAAATATATACACGTAGTTCACCGATGTGAAGATAAATCGTTCCTAGAACACGGTATCCCTAACTCGATTTTAGTTGGTTACGATTTACGGAGCACAGAGCGTATCATATTCGTATAACTCTGGATTAACCCTCTCAACCGTTCATCTGCAATTCAGGATTATCCTAATGTATTCAAACGGGAAGCACAAATGACGGGTACCGACGGAAAGGCAGTTGAAAATGGTCGGAATAAACGTATTACTACGTGCATTAATTATACTTCCGCGCGACGTTCAGCGAGAGAGGTGTATTATACACCTTACGCGGGACCGGTTCACATTCGGCGTTTAATTACCGCGGGATCCAATCTTGGTTGGCCGACAACGCGAGTAATTCACCGGGCGCCTTTATTAAAACGAATAACGCCGAATGTGTACAGGAAGTGATGCGTTCCAGGGGAACAGTAACCGTTTTAATTGAATTTTAAAACGGCCACGGAACCGCTTTGGCGATATTCCAAACAGCTTTCTACATCTCCGACTTTCGGCCAATTGTCTTCCGTTCGATTAAAAATCAACGGAAATAGCCGAGAGTATTGTTGAACGCATCGTTTAACAGGAAACAATGCTCCACTCTCTTATGGAATCTTTGGAAACGTTAAAAATGGTCGCGTCATCGAACGCGAAGATTTTACGTACAACGAGATGTAGACGAAGATTTCGAGTCGTTTCGAGCAAATCTCGAGGAAATCTGTGGCTCTTGAAATCTTACGATCAGCGAACTCTTGTTAAAACGGGCTCGATGATTTTAACAAAAGTTTCGAAAATTCAAATATTCGTTTGTTACGAGGTTTAATACATCGCGAGCATTTATCTATGAAGCTGTCGTACATACTTTTGTTCCTCAAAATTAGTCACGATGCTTTTTACGCTACTTCAAAACCATTGGAGGATTACCTTTTTTTATACCGGGGCCCATAAATACGTGGTAAACGAGGTAACAGCGTATTAAATATAGTTTCATTACCAGGTAACCGGTGAAAAATATATCTTTGTTTCAACCATCGCTCGCTTCAGTCACTTTTTTAAGCCACTTTAGTGTCTTAATACCGACATCCTACGTTTCTATGGAAAAACAAAATTTTCCATCGCGAACGCTTAAATCCATAAAGACAACGTTAATGTCAAATATCCTTCGATACGATGAACTTTTTTAGAGACTCTTAAATTCGCCGAACGTTAAACCTTAAACTCGCCAGTCATAACTGAACAGGAAAATATCTACTCGCTATACGAAGAGTAAATTAATAACAAGTAAAAAATAAGAATATTCTCAAAACTTCCAAACTATCTTCTTCTGTTTATCAAATACAAAACTTCCCGCCGTCCGTGTCATGATAAAAAATTACTTGGAAATTAAAGTTACGAATTTTGCAAGCCTCTAAATTTACCAAAAATTAAACTCGTCGTCTGTAACTAAACGAGAAAAGGCCTTTTGCAAACAAATTAAGGATAAGCGGAAAGCTAAGGAAAAAAGAGGAATTCTTAAAACTCTGGAACCATCGTTTACACATTTTTCAACGCACAAAAAACGTTTTCCTTTGGCGCACGCGGTTAATCCCTCGTACATGATCGATCCCTCGTGAACGTTATGTGAGATTTTCGCGCACCGATGCCGTCGAAAGCGACGAAGGATGAAAGGATTCGCGAGCACGAAAAGAGGTAGGAGGACACCGTGCTCATTTCGACAGTGACAAATGGATTTAACGATGGATGACGCGTTCCAACGTTAAATGTATCCGGTCGTGTTCAAATCCAACTGCTTGTATCGGCAACCGGCTCCATTTCGAATTTTTTCACAGACTGTTTTTCTCTCTCTCTCTCTCTCTCTCTCTCTCTCTCTCTCTCTCTCTCTCTCTCTCTCTCTCTCTCTCTCTCTCTCTCTCTCTCTCTCTCTCTCTCTCTCTCTCTCTCTCTCTCTCTCTCTCTCTCTCTCTCTCTCTCTCTCTCTCTCTCTCTCTCTCTCTCTCTCTCTCTCTCTCTCTCTCTCTCTCTCTCTCTCTCTCTCTCTCTCTCTCTCTCTCTCTCTCTCTCTCTCTCTCTCTCTCTCTCTCTCTCTCTCTCTCTCTCTCTCTCTCTCTCTCTCTCTCTCTCTCTCTCTCTCTCTCTCTCTCTCTCTCTCTCTCTCTCTCTCTCTCTCTCTCTCTCTCTCTCTCTCTCTCTCTCTCTCTCTCTCTCTCTCTCTCTCTCTCTCTCTCTCTCTCTCTCTCTCTCTCTCTCTCTCTCTCTCTCTCTCTCTCTCTCTCTCTCTCTCTCTCTCTCTCTCTCTCTCTCTCTCTCTCTCTCTCTCTCTCTCTCTCTCTCTCTCTCTCTCTCTCTCTCTCTCTCTCTCTCTCTCTCTCTCTCTCTCTCTCTCTCTCTCTCTCTCTCTCTCTCTCTCTCTCTCTCTCTCTCTCTCTCTCTCTCTCTCTCTCTCTCTCTCTCTCTCTCTCTCTCTCTCTCTCTCTCTCTCTCTCTCTCTCTCTCTCTCTCTCTCTCTCTCTCTCTCTCTCTCTCTCTCTCTCTCTCTCTCTCTCTCTCTCTCTCTCTCTCTCTCTCTCTCTCTCTTCGCTATCTGTACGACCATCCGTGAACACGTTTTTCCGATCCCATTACGCGCGTTATTTATTACCGGTCGCCGCGTGAAAATAGCACCGCACGACGTCAATGAAAGCGTCGTCTGATAATTATGTGGCAACGGGGAGAGGCAGAGGCAGAGGCAGAGGGACAGAACAGGGGGTTGATGGGGAGACCAGCCGCGGACGTTGAGAAACGACCAACGTGTGTATACGCATAACAGCCGGGGAATATTTCGATTTATTCCATCGCTGGAAAATCGTGAATATCTACGAGGATGTTGCGTAAAAAACAGTTTGCCAGAAACAGTCTAGATTTAAAAATGATTATCTGTGCAGCCGTGGTAAACAGAGTTCTCGATGTTGTTGATAAAACAGTGGATTAGATGACATTTTTAGGTAAAAGCATACTGAATTTATACATAGGGCGCGGTATGAATTTGTTGCCACGATGTCCGATTTGGTTTGCAGCGATTGAACAAGAAAGTGTTTCAAACGAATATTCATCGCACAGTGGGTGAGGTGAAGCATCTTTCGCGTAAAGAGAATCTTTGCAAATATCTTCTCTCCTAAATAACACCCATCTTCCAATTTTTACACGACATTGTATGTCTTTGTGTATTCTTAAACTGCGATCGAATCGGTTTCGTCGTACAATTCGAACGTGTGAACGGAAAAATGTGCAGCGTCGTTTAGGAAATTTTTCCTGCAAAACAGACACTTCCGAACGTACTTCGCTTTTAAAACATTTTTATACACAACAATCCTATCAACTTTGCATAAGAAATTATCCATAAAAAGAACCAAACTATAATCGTTGTTAGTTGCAATGGTAGAATAAACATGACGCAAGACACTAGAGAAAGGACCGACATTCGAGATACGTCGTTTCAACA